ACTCATATAGATGAAAGAAATTAAACCTGATGCCTGAAAATCACTAAGCATAAATTTAGGCTTAGATATTGTACTTTGCTACAAGCAAACTAGACCTTGTTGGCTTAATCACACTTAAATTGCTTTGCCAGGAGTATTTATCATGGGATTAATTTTACTTTATTAGCTAGGGATAGACAAGGCAATAAACAAATAAGATAGCTACATACTCTGCTTCTATTAGTCACTTAATCAATTATCTCCCAACAAATGATCTGATTCTTATTCCAAACAAGAAGACTTATCTATCAAAATACTACTTTAAGGACATCAAATCCTTACAAATAAAATCTTAATACACATCAACTAATTTTATAAGACATCCAAGTTAGAAATCTGTGCAAATAAACTATTAACTGCATGAAAACTTTCCACAGGATTTTCACAATCTTTTATAGCTTATGAATGAAATTCACATTTTGTTAGAAAAGCACGTCAGAGTTCTGTGTTTGCATTATAAAATATGTCTTCTGACATACTGGATGGGGGTAAAGTTAACAATTAGTTACTCTATAAACTAAACAAAATGTGATGACGGGGTGCTGAGGAGCTGCTTGCAACTCAATGGAAAAAATGATTTGGCTGGGCAGTGCTCACACCTATAATCCCAGCACTTTGGGAGGTTGAGGCAGGCAGATCACTTGAGTTCAGGAGTTCGAGATTAGCCTGGGCAACATGGTGAAACCCCATCTCTACCAAAAAAAAAAAATGCAAAACAATTAGCTGGATGTGGTGGCACATGCCTGTGGTCCCAGCTACTCAGGAGGCTGAGGTAAGAGAATCACTTGAACCCTGGACGCAGGTTGCAGTGAGTCCAGATTGCATCACTGCATTCCAGCCCAGGTGACAGAGTAAGACCCTGTCTCAAAAAAAAAAAAAAAAAAAACAGAAGGAAAGAAATAAAATTATTGTATTTCTATCTGAGCTTTAGTTTTTTCATTTATGAAAGATAGTATATAACAAAATCATCTTAATACATTTCAGTCTTTAAGTTTCTATCATTTGGCTATTCAGTAATATGATAAACCAAAATATAAAATAATTACTATCTAATTGTTAGTATGTAATGATATAATGAGATAAATTATTTACAAGGGGCTTTCAAAGTAAATAACAATGATAAAATCTACTTGTCTTATTACTACTTTTCTAAATTAGTATTTAATAACTAATATGCCTTAATATCATTAAATTCTCTGAAAATATAAATATTATTCTGAAGTTTCATATAAATAATTTAACCTTAAAACCTCAATTTCTTAAAGAAGCATGTTTATATTTGTCTTTTTAAAAATATTTTTGTACAAATTTATGGTGTGTATGTGCAATTCTGTTACATGCATAGGGTACATGTAACAATCCAATAATGGTCAAGCCAGAGCTTTAAAAAACCTTAATTTTACTTATTTATGAGTTGCTTTAATTTCTTTGATAAAATGATTTAACCAAGGACATTGCAAGATATAAAAATTTAATTTGAAGTTTTTTTTAATATCTCTAAGTTTTAACAGTATAAATTGAAATTCCCCCTTTTTTTTTTTTTTTTTGACAGAGTTTCCCTCTTGTTACCCAGGCTGGAGTGCAATGGCGCAATCTCGGCTCACTGCAACCTCCGCCTCCTGGGATCAGGCAATTCTCCTGCCTCAGCCTCCTGAATAGCTGGGATTACAGGCACATGCCACCATGCCCAGCTAATTTTTCGTATTTTTAGTAGAGATGGGGTTTCACGATGTTGACCAGGATGGTCTCGATCTCTTGACCTCGTGATCCACCCGCCTCAGCCTCCCAAAGTGCTGGGATTACAGGCGTGAGCCACCGCGCCTGGCCTGAAATTCTCCTTAAAGTAAACCACATTCTTCTGGTTTTATTTTAAAAATTTGGATCAAAAGGAATTGTAAGTTTATATTATCCAAAAAAGAAAAAAGAAATGTAGTTTTGAAGTAGCAGATGGGAGGCTTGAAATAATGCACTCATTTCCAAAACATGCTATAATAAGGATGTTTCAGCTTTATAATAAAACAACAATAAAAGAAATAGCATACCATGCAAATAAAATTCACATCTTCTTTAATATTGGAACAAAACTTTTCTTTCTCTCTCCTTTCTTTAGGGTCTATGTTTTTCCATGTTTCTAAAAATGGAAAGTTAGTAGTAACTCAACTAAGCAGGGAAGGTTAAAAAAATTATAGAATGTGTAGCATCCCCATATATTTTACATACCTTATATCAGATGAAATTAGTTTCTTATAAACCTTGTAGCTGACAGAATATTTTTCTGCCATAGTTAGCATAAAGTACCTGTTTTATGAGCCCCACAGTAAACACCAACCACCTAAAATTACGACCATCCTTCCCTAATAACCATTGTGCAGTTATCAACAAGCTGATCATTGTAGACTATGGATCCTTTTTAATACTAAAAGGATTCAAATTCCACAGCAATACTATTTATACAGTAAGAATGCTTTCAAATCCTTCAAATGTTTAATTGTCACCAGGTCAAATTCTGATATCCTGCCTGATGCAAAATTTACATCATTGCCTACTAAAAAAGGAATTAAATATAAGGATGTGTTGAAGAACAAAATAAAATGTGGTTTATGTTCTGTAAAAGTAATTACCAGCATCTATTAACATACAATCTATCTACAATGTTATTATGAACTTGCCTTTTAAAGAACCAACAATATGACAAATATACATATATTCCCTTTATTTCTGTTACTCATAAAAATTAAAGTATTTGGGAATTCTATCTAAGTAGCTTTTAATATTTTCACTTCTGTTATCTAACAAAGTATAGGCTGCTTTAGAAGTAAGAGGTTTTCTTTACCTCTACCTTGATTTTCCGACATCCGTGATCTTGGTTCTTAAGACACTCCTAGAGAAAGGTGAAACCGGGACTCCAAGTTTGGGTCCCCTTCCACTAACACTCCCTTTGTGGAAGCCATCTCTCTCTCCTGGATTTTCCCTCTGGAGTCTCCTTCCATGAACACTTCCTCGTGGAAACTTGTCTTCTCCTCCTAAACTCCATCTATCTCTATTTCGTTCCACTCAGTGTGGAAGCTGCTTTCCTCTCCTGCATTCCATCTTTCTGGATTCTCTCACTCAGTGTGAAAGCTAGCTATTTCTTTCTCTCTCCTTCTCCTCTTTCTCTCTCTCTCACTAAATAAATCACTTTCTACAAAAAAAAAAATGTGAAACCTTTTTTACGAATATGCACCCCTACATATGCTGCTCAAAAATCTACAGCTTTACGTTGCTCCTTCAGACTCAAGAAAACTTTGAGGTCATCTGGGCAATCCTCTCCTAGTGTGAGAATCCCCTCTACAATATTCCTGACAGATGGCTCCCCAGGTTCTGCTTTAAGATTCCATACACAGGGTCCTCTCTGCTTCACAAGGTGTCCAATTCCACTCTCAAATGTTAGAAAGTTCTTATTCTAAGGTGCTATCTACTTCCTGCAGCCTCCACCCAGTAATCCAACCTCTGAAGCCACATGAAATAATTTTAACTTCTCTTGTCAATAGAATTCTTCTTCAAATAAGAGATGCAGATATTTTCACAATTCTCCCCATATCCTTCGAGAACTGTTTTTCTTAGACATGCTCAAATTTATCAAAACCCTCTTTAAAATTGGGAGCTAGAAAGACTGCTCGAATAGTCTGTAAGACTGAATGATATAGGGACATTGTACTTTCCTGAATTAGTGCTCATGTAACATTTCCCAGAAGAAAAGCTACTTTTTATTTCTGCCCACCCTTGAAACCCCTTAAGAAAGGAACAGTTGGGCAGGATGTGATGGTTCACGCCTGTAATCCCAGCAATTTGGAGGCCAAGGTGGGTGGATCGCTTAGCCCAGGAGTTCGACACCAGCCTGGGCAACATGGTAAAACCCCATCTCTACTAAAAATACAAAATTAGCCAGCATGTTGACATGCACATGTAATCCCATCTACTTGGGAGGCTGAGGCAGGAGAATTGCTTGAACCCAGGAGGCAGACACTGCAGTGAGCCAAGATCACATCACTGCACTCCAACCTGGGCAACACAGCAAACCTCCATTACAAAAAAAAAAAAAGAATAGTTAACAGGGCTCCTGACTAGGAAGAAAGACCTTTTGTGAGTCCCCTCACTTGGCTAAAAATCTGGTCATCAGGCTCAGAAATCAACAATGTAGACTTTAAGATCAGTTGGTTGGAGCCCTGATATTTCATAAGACAAATGAGTACATTATCAGGCATAGATTATTTTTATTGACTCTAGGTCATTTGAATAAACAAAGAATCCTTTATAATTCCTTCTTATAAATAGAAGTTAATTTAGTATTTTATCACCTTTCTTATTTCCAAAAATATCTAAGTCAGTCTTCTTATTTATTATCTTTTTTCCACAATGACAAATTAAGTAGTCCACTATAGCCAGCTATCTCTACTATATAGAAGAGAAAATAAATCTAATCCTTTGGTATCTGGGTAGCTCCTCAGTGAATCCTTTGCTCTCACCATCTTGGATAACTCTCTAATGCTGCTTAAAAATCAAAGAGAAAATTTTTTTTATTATAGTAACACACACACACACACACACACACACACACACACACACCATAAAACTTAGCATTGGCCGGGCATGGTGGCTCATGCCTGTAATCCCAGCACTTTGGGAGGCCAAGGTGGGCAGATCACAAGGTCAAGAGATCGAGACCATCCTGGCCAACATGGTGAAACCCCGTCTCTACTAAAAAATACAAAAATTAGCTGGGCATGGTGGTGTGCGCCTGTAGTCCCAGCTACTCGGGAGGCTGAGGCAGGAGAATTGCTTGAACCCAGGAGGCGGAGATTGCAGTGAGCCAAGATTGCACCACTGCACTCCTGGAGGCGCCTGGCGACAGAGCAAGACTCTGTCTCAAAAAAAAAAAAAACTTACCATCAACCATTTTTTTTTTTTTTTTTTTTTAACTGTTAAGAAAATTTTTGTGGTTTTATTGTATCATGAGGCATTGAAACATCTGAACAAATCAACTTCTGGGCGGTGAGGCAGCTGCTTTCTCCTTCACGTCTTTGGGTTACTAGAGCAACTTGTCAGTAGATTAAAAAAAAAAAAAGGACAACCTTTTGCATTACTTAAGTCTTTCCAAGGCATGCGCTGGTACAACACAAACTTCTCCCGTCAGATGCAACTAGTCTAGCGTCCAAACATCATGCACAACACCTTGGTGGCAGCAGCGCACTGCGCCCACTCCCGCCGCAGCCCTGCTCATTTGTGCATGATATTTGGAGCATCTGGAGGAGTGGTAATAGTACTGGGAAGAGGAGGGAGGAGGAAACAGCGTGAGTGCCTGGCTGAGAGAAGGTCAGCCGAAGTTGTGCAGGGCGAGCCTGAACATGTCATTGGTGCAAACCCAAGCATCGTTGATGTTCTTTAATAGGAACATCTGGTGGAACCCCATCATGGGGTCTTCATTCGCCTTAAGCTGGCCCACAACCATGCTGATGATGCAGCTATCTGGCGTGGGCTGATGGTCCTGCGCCGTGATGCTGTGCTGGATTTTCTGGAATGGAAGGCTAGACAACTTCTCCACAATGGCAGCTTTCCCCTGGAACTGTTGTCCTTCCCACGTAAGGCATGACGCGTCAATGTAAATTGCGCCTAGTTGGGTTCTATCATTATCAAATAACTGGTAATAATGTTGAATGAAGCTGGATCCAATCTGCTCCCAAATTGGCTTGTCTCCCATTCTGGAGCGTCACCCGGCCTCACAGAGACCCAAGGGGCTGGCACGATGGCGGCAGCGGCCCATCAACCATTTTTAAGTGTACAACTGAATAGTCTAAGGTGTTTTCACATTGTTGTGAAACAGATCTCTAGAACTTTTTCATCTTGCAAAGCTGAAACTCTATATTCATTAATAACTTGGCTTTTCCCGCTTCCACTAGCCCTAGCAACCACTATAGTTTCTGTTTTTATAAATTTGACCATTTTAGATACCTCATATAAATGAAATCATACAGTATTTGTCTTTTTTGACGGACTTATTTTATTCAACATAACGTCCTCAAGGTTTATGCACATTTGTAGCATGTCACAGTATTATAAGGCTGAGTAATATTCCATTGTGTGTATATATCACATTTTGCTTACTTACGCATATGTAGATGGACATTTGGGTGGCTTCCACTTCTTGGCTATTGTGAATAGTGCCTGCTAAGAACATGGATATGCAGCTATCTATTCAAGTCCATGCTTTCAATTATTTTGTATGTAAACCCAGAAGTGAAATTAGGGGATCATATGGTAGTTCTATTTTTAATTTTCTGAGGAACCGCCATATTCTTTTGCATAGTGGTTGCTCTCCTTTACAATCCCACCAACAAGGATTCCAGTTTCTCCACATTCTCACCAACACTGGTTATTTTCTGGTGTGTGGGTTTTTTTTGGTTTTGTTTTTATTTTAATAGTAGCCATTCTAACAAATATAAGGTGGCATTTCATTTTGGTTTAGGTGACGTTTCATTTTGGTTTAGTTTCACATTTCTCTGATGCAAAGAGAGAGAGGTTTTGCCTTCAAGTCTTCCACCTTTTGGTTCATGTTCTCTCCCATCCCTTATTCTTTCTTCTTCTCTAGCAGCATATCTTCCCCTATTCCAACTGCTGTGGTCCCTAACACAGAGATCAAGGGCACAGAGGAACTAGAATATACAGGAACTTGAGAATATACACTACATATTTCTGAGAGAAATCACTGGCCAGATTTAAAGCAATCAGTGGTCACTATTATCCTTATTAGTCCATGTTTCTTCTCTTTTCCATAATAAATTCAATTTTAAGTTAATAAATATGAATATGCTTGTTTTGTGCTCCTACAGCCTGTTATAAAAGTCCTTTCTTCCAAGGCCTTCTTTACCTTCATGGTCTCAGTCATACTGTGCCCCTGGTAGCCATGCGACCTGCTGATTTAGATGGTGTTCCCTGGGCTCTTTCTCTAAGAATTTCTAACGAGCTAGTCATTGAAAATTCTTTAGCTAAGACTTCATTTTGCTCTTCTTATTTGGGATGCCTTTCTCCCAGCTACCTTTACTTCCAGTCTTCTAACACTTAAGGATTTCCTAGTAAGCTGAGAACCTCAGGCTTCAGCTCATCTAAGACTTGGAGATTTTTCCCTCAAATCCCTTCTGAGCCCTTTCTGAACTTTCCCTTTCACCACAGTATAATTATTGTATAAGGGCACTCTCTATGAACAACAACTTCTTAATGAGAGTATTGTTTTCTTGCAAATAAGTATATGTTACTTATTCCTTAGAAACAGATGTGATTTTTTTTTAAGTTGGCAAAAGGCACCAAACCATAATCTACTATATAGAATCCATGCCCTAAACACTTTAACGGAAATAAAAACACACAAAATACGGTCCCTGCCCTCAGAGAGTTTATGCTCTATTTGAGATAAGGAAGTATATAATTTTAATAATTAAAAAAAATATTGGAGGCCAGGCACAGTGGCTCACACCTATAATCCCAGCACTTTGGGAGGCTGAGGCGGGTGGATCACGAGGTCAAGAGATCAAGACCATCCTGGCCAACATGGTGAAACCCTGTCTCTACTAAAAATACAAAAATTAGCTGGGCATGATGGTGTGCGCCTGTAGTCCCAGCTACTCGGGACGCTGAGGCAGGAGAATTGCATGAACCCAGAAGGCAAAGGTTGCGATGAGCCGAGATTGTGCCATTGCACTCCAGTCTGGGTACCAACAGCGAAACTCCGTCTAAAAAAAAAAAATTGTGTAGCACACAATATGTGCTTAGTAATGACTCACTAATCATTAATGATCATATAATGATATTAATCATATAATAATCACATATGGAGGGTGTCAGGAGACTGCAATATTTGAGACAGTCTTTGCCTAACCCATTAGGATTTCAGCTAAGTTCAGAATACGTGTATATTTATGGAAAACACTCTATGGACAAAAGAATAGGTGCTAGCAAATGCAGGGAAGTGAAGTGCTTCAGACATAGTCTGGATATGACAATCCCAGGGTCACACAGAAAGTCTCTTCCTTCTTACTGAATACCTACCCATGACAGTGGTGCTACTCATTTTTCACACAGAAGTGGCCACTGATTGGAACAGAGTGGACCTGACCCAAGGGCAGCTCCTCCACAGCCTGAGCCTTGACCCATGGAGTGGACCTACTCAAAGGACTCTTCTCACTGTGGCAATGGAAATTAGTCCAGACTATCTCCCTCCAGAATTTATAGTAGAGAATGCAGAGAGGGTTGAATGAGAGGGAGAAAGAAAGAGTAACACCCCAAGAAGACACCAGACAACAAAGCCTGGGTCCTGGGTATTTACTAAATTATCTGAGTGAATCTCTTCCTTGCAAACAAAAAAGCCTGATGCAACATGTTTTAAGAATACACAAGTCTACCCTGAAGAGAGGTTCTATCAAGGGGATAATAGAAGGTAATTTTGAAAGAGTTCGAGGTCTTCATATGTGAAGAATTTTGAAGGTCAACCATATATTTTTGTCTTTTTTTATCTAATCTATGCTTGATCTTAGCCAAAAGGTCGAGAAGTTATTTTTTAACCTAATCTTACATTAATTTTGCCATTGGATATTTAATAAAACTTAAAACTGAAACAGTACCTATCAGACTAAATAGAAATAAATTAATTTGCAAGATATATATATGTGAATTGAACAACGTGAAGAAAAATGTTTGAATTTGGCCAGGCGTGATAGCTCACACCTGTAATCCCAGAATTTATCTGGCATCACTTGATGCCAGGAGTTGGAGACCAGCCTGGCCAACATGGCAAATTCCCATCTCTACTAAAGATACAAAAATCAGCCAGGCCTAGAGGTGCATGTCTATAATCCCAGCTACTATGGAGGCTGAGACACAAGAATCACTTGAGCCTGGGAGGTAGAGGCTGCAGTGAGCCAGGATCATACCACTGCATTCCAACCTGTGCAACAGAATGAGGCTCATAAAAAAAAAAAAAAAATTGATTTTACACTTATTTGTCACAGATGACCAAAGGCATTAAAAATTCTGGTGGTAGCTGGTCACAATGGCTCATGCCTGTAATCCCAGCTCTTTGGGAGGCTGAGGAGGGCGGATCACAAGGTCAGGAGAAAGAGACCATCCTGACCAACATAGTGAATCCCCGTCTCTACTAAAAATACAAAAATTAGCTGAGCGTGGTAGTGCGCACCTACAATCTCAGCTACTCAGGAGGCTGAAGAAGGAGAACTGCTTAAACCTGAGAGGTGGAGGTTGTAGTGAGCTGACATCGCACCACTCCACTCTAGTCTGGTGATAGAGCAAGACTCCAACTCAAAAAAAAAGAAAAAAAAATTCTGATGGTGAGTTGACATAACAAGCCAATGCTCTCCCAATCTTTTTTTCACACAAAATGATGGAGATCTACACCCACATCTCATATTGTCATCTATTTTTACACTCAGTGAAGGAAAAATTTTGTGGGAGTATTTTTCACATTTTTTTTCCATCAAATCTGTCAGCAGGAAGTAGAATGATGGATTTGTAAACCAAAATGTTTTGGTCAACATTACAAAAAGTTTCTAGGATATCTCAAAATAGGCTGGGTGCAGTGGCTCATTCTCCCAGCATTTTAGGAGGCTGAGGTGACCAGATCACTTGAGGACAGGAGTTCGAGACTAGCCTGGCCAACATGGCAAAATCGCATCTCTACAAAAAAATGCAAAAATGTACTGGGCATGGTGGCACATGCCTGTAATCCCAGCTACTCAGGAGGCTGAGGCATGAGAATCGCTGGAACCAAGGAGGCAGAGGCTACAGTGAGCCAAGATCTCGCTGCTGCACTCCAGCCTGGGCAACAGAGCAAGAAACTCTGTCTAAAAAAAAAAAAAAAAAAAAAAAAAAAAGCAACACCAAGGGCCTGGTGGCTCACAGCTAATCCCAGCACTTTGTGGGGCTGAGGCAGGAGGATCGCTAGAGCTCAGAAGTTCAAGGTTAGAGTGAGCTATGATCGCACCCACTGTACTCCAGCCTGGGCAACAGAGCAAGGTCCTGTCTCTTTAAAAAAACAAACAAAAAGAAAGAAAGAAAAAAAGCCACCACTGCCAAGAGCTTCAACCATTTATTGAAGGTCATTGGAAAGGTTGTTCATAATCCAACAGAGGCAGACATATTAAGGATCAAGGGGAGGTAGCAAAAGAAGCACCAAGAGTAAGCAGTGAAAAAGTTAAGTATTCCCACCAACAATCCAGATGTACAAACTCTTCCATCATTTGCATTCACAGCCTACAAGCTCACAAACTTCCAAACGGATTTTTCTCTAGAGCAAGCAGCTGTTTCACCAAAGCTACATTAAAGTGACTTGCTATAATATATTATAATTTTAAAGACTCCCTCTGTTCCCATACTTCTGATATTTTCCTCTTGTTTTATTTTATTGGCCACACCATCAAACTGAGTAAACATTTTCCAGCTCAACCACAAAGCACTGTTGGCTTTGTTGATCCACACTTGTAATTGCTTTTAAGAGGAAATATATTTTCCTGTAAGACCAAATGAGAATCTTTCATGAGAATTAGTGAGCACCATTTGGAAATTTTTCAGGGAGATAAAATAAAATCTAATCAAATTTGTTCATAAAGCAAAATAAGATGATTAGCTCTGCATTTTTGTTTTGTTTTGTTTTTTGAGAAGGAGTCTTGCTCTGTCGCCAGGCTGGAGTGCAGTAGCCCAATCTTCTCTCACTGCAACCTCCTCCTCCTGGGTTCAAGTGATTCTCCTGCCTCAGCCTCCTGAGTAGCTGGGACT